CAGATTGGAAAAGGAGCCCCAGCCATATGGAAGGAAGCGTGAGTGTGTGTCTCTCATATTGTATTCAATCTTGACTTGCCGGGGGAATAGGAACCGGACTGACGCTCCCAGAATGGAAAAGGAGCCAGGCCCATAAGGACCTGTTTTGAAAAAAAAAATTAAAAAAAAATTAAAAAAATAAAAATAAATAGAAAAATCCTACAAATGCTCATCAGCGCAGAGTTCAGCAAACCAACTCCCGCATCCTCATCCAAGGTAGGCGACTGTCTTCTCTCTGTGTCCCCCTCTCCCTCTCTGTCATTTTCATGCATGCCCTCACTCTCTCCCTCTATCCCCTCTCCCTCTCTTTCTCTCTACTTTCTTGTCTCTGAATACATCCGCTACCACTCAGCTCTATCTCCTACTCCTAGCTATGCAGCTATGGCCGCCTTCCCTCTCAGCACAGCGCTGCCCAGCAGGGCTCTCGCACATGCCACTCGCAGATAGCGGATAAGCGCTCCAGCAGCACATCCACACTTCTCACAAATGAGCGATCTCCCTGAAATGTGGCTGGCCAGTCCTTATATTGACTTGGACCGAGCATGAACTCGTCCAACCTCTGCTTCCTTTGTTTTGACTTGGTGCCGGTACCACATGCCCGCGGCCGGTTCGCTTCAGAATGCTGAGGCCTGGTACTTCCCGAAATTTCATTGGTGTACTGCTGCTTGGGTCTGTGAGTCAAGACTTTTCGTCTGTGTTTTCAATATGAGACATGACTTTCGCTTATGGAATGCAACTTTTGCCTCTGGGATGTGACTGTTCACCGTGTGCCTGTTGAACTTGACTCCTAAGGTACCCGACTGTGACCTCTCTGAACTGGCCGACTTGGCCTCTTTTGACCTGAGACCTTGACCCTGAGATCCGAATTTGGGGTCTGCATCGTGGAATGCCTTTCATGCAGGTTGACACCCTTCACATACAATGCATGATACGACACGTACAACACATCAAAGCCTCAAACACCATCCCATATGACAGACCTTGCAGCACTGCTCTGCTCATTGTGCACCAGAATATCGTCGTTTAAGTCACGACTTTGGCAAGGGAATTTGTTCAGACATCCGCCATAACATCATAAGCAAGTTATGGCATACTGACACACCGACTTTTCGAAGTTCACAGCGCTGCCTTTTTTTTTTTCCCCCGACCATTTTTCGATTTATGTGTGTCCTGGCTGTTATTCTAAGCAGATTCAGTTGAAAATGTCCCTGGCATCACTACAAACTCAGTTCATTCAAACATGAGCCATGCCCTGCACACAGTATTCCCTGCCATGCACCACCTCTCAATGAATATGAGAGACAAGATGGACCAATGCGGCTTTGTCCGCATGAGATAGGATAGCAGTCGAATTGGAATAACAGTTCGCAGAGCAGGTGAAAGAAGATGTTGATACCACATTGAGTGATAGTAAGCATAGAGAATGTAATTGGAGAGAACTGAAACGGCTTCGCACGCGTGAGATAGGATAGTGGTGAAATTATAATAATAAGCGGCTCTGAAAGCCGAAGAAAATGTGTGCACCAACAAGTCAGCATATTCAGTCGTTACAATTCTTTGAAGAGGATTGAAAACATCCAGCATATTCAGAGATTGAAATTTGCGTTCAACGTTTTTCCCAACATTTCCACATGGTATCACTGCGGTCACACTGGACATTGTTGTAGCAATGATTGAAAACCATAATGCATTGATACTATTTCTGACAATCGTCCCGGAGAAAGGGGAATCGATGGAATTGAAATTAGCGTGAAAATAATGTGAAATTAGTGTGAAATTAGTGTGTATGAAGTTACTATGAACCAACCGTCATATAGGGTCTGAATACTGGAACCACAACACGGGAAATTTGTAGGTGGGTCAAAGAAACAGAAATGGTCGATAGTTTGAAAAACAATATCAGTTCGACTTTGTCGTACCTACTTGTCCTACCTAGCCTACCTACGTTCATGCAACAGCCTCACTTCGACTTTGAAGACCAATGATAAATGCTCAGTCGAGCAATGTATAAGGAGCCAAGGATCCGCAAAGTGATGAAAAGGACTCGTATGGACAATGCAGTGTCAGCAAAGCATCAACCAGCAATGTACCTCTAAAAAATAGCACAAAGTAGCGCGACGGAAGACTCAAAGATATGACCTGACCGATCAGATACTGACACGACCTCCCATCATACATCACACATGTGAGAGGAAGAGGAGGGACCGCATACATGGAAGAAAGGTCCCTCCTCGTACACACACATGGGGAAGATACCACGGATGAGAGATGGGGGAGAGACAGGACGAAGATGGAGGTGAGGAAGAAGACCAAGATCGCGATAGCGAAGTCCAGAAATAGCCTCCCTGCCGAATGTCCAATCAATGTCTACCACAAAATGTCGAATCAGATCCTGGGCCAATGCCCGATGTAACCTCTGCCTGTAACCTCTCTCTCTCTCTCTCTCTCTCTGAAAGAAGAAGAAGAAGAAGAAGGAGGAGGAGGAGGAGAAAGGAGGGAGAATAGATGAAGGACGAGACGAAGAAGAAGAAAGTGTCGTCCTCCTCGCTGTCTCACCTGCAGGTAACTGCCGCCATGTACTAACTGCCGTCGTGGTCATGTGCAGGTCGCCGGCGTGGAGCACGCTATGGCGCCCAGGTAAGTACCGCCGACGCAGGTATGACCTCCACCCATTTGCCGGCCTACACCTCTACCTCTACCTCAGCATAGCGCGGTAGCGTTGTAGCGCTGGTTCAGCAGCATGTCGCCCAAAGAAGTGGGCTACTCCAACTCTCTCCTCTGCCCTGGCCTGGCCCAGCTATAAGTAGTGCTGGGCCTCGTCGGTCTGCCTCCGTGTGCCTCTGGTCCTAGGCCAAAAACGTGGCCTACTGGGTCTGGGTCCCGACCGGACGTCCAGACCCTGCCTGCTGATGCAGCAGGGACGTCCGTAACTGGACGAGCACGACCCTGGCCTCAAAGGGCCCTGCCTCCTGGTGTACCCAGCCCAAGGCGCAGCCTTGGGGACTGCAAGTCCGAAACGATGCCTGAACAGACAGCAAACAAATAAATAAATAACTGAATGCTGTCGTAAATCAAATCCTGCCCCTAGGGGCCGCCGTGGGCCTCCAGGGTGCGCATTCAAAAGGGCACGCGGCCTGGGGGCACCTTAGCACACGTCGGGCCCCTGAAATGGGCCCGTGTGCAGGCGCAGCATGTAACGCCAATGTACATATCGTCAACACCAATGCCGACCTCCCACATACACCAGGTACGCACTCTCGCCTCCCCTCATCATCCCCTGTCCACCCACACTCGCTCTGCGCCCTGCAGCCCGGCTATGGCCACAAGCGCCCCGCTGCCCTGCAGCACCCTTCACCACTCAGCGCCCGCGCGTACCCCAGCCAGCCAGTGCACATGCAGACACTTGTGCAGCGTCGCAGCAGCGTGGCCGCATTGCCTGCCTAGGCCAGAATGCCAGCGCCTGGCCGGCCTCCTCCCTATATGGGATATGTTTGCAGCTGCTGGCCTGTCTGGGCCTGGTCGTGGAAGCTTCCAGTAGTTTTTGGTTGGGCCCCAGTGTCTGCACCCAAGCCCATCTCGACAATTGAGGGCCTGGGCCCTTTTCAGTTGGGCACACCCAGAATTTTCCAGGCTCCGAATGTTTGCTGCATTTGCACTGGCCCACGGTGTAGATAAGACGACAATGCTACTTTCTCGTTGGCCCATGGTCACTTCGTGTATGCTGACCTCACACTGCGTGTGCCAAGGGTGCAACCACCTGCATCCTAGGTTCAACTGCCTGGCGCAGCTGCTGCTTCTGGAAGAGCCCAGGGTGAGGCCCAGGTTGTACTTCAACCAACTGCCGTGCAGCAACTGTCTGAGACCCGCATTAAAATGTTGAGGTAAGGGCCTCTCGTGGATAATCAGGCACGACGCTTGATGGGGGCCACATTCCAGAAATATATGCATGTTGCCTAGGCCCCCCCGTGAGGGCAGAGTCCTTACAATATACTTACACCAATGGCCTAGCTCAGTTGGTACACCCATGAACTGATGAAATATAGACCTACATTCGGATCCAGCTTCAGTCAAATGAAACCTGGGACCGGTCAGCTCAATGATGATATCTCTAGGCTATCGCCATTTTGGAAAAAAAAACAAAACAAGACAAAAGACAGATGTACTTACAAGCGAGATGGGAAATGGCTGCCTGGATGGACGGGCACTGAAGATCCTGGCATAGTGAAGCCCGATGCATGAACAACCACAAAAAGAGGCCATTCCCTGCGAGTACACAAAGCACAAAGCCAACCAGTCAAACCTCTTATTGGACCACGTCTTGACTTATGTGTGTCATCCTTGTGCGCGAGGTGACCAAGCTAATCTTCCCTGTATCGTTCCAATCCTTCTAATGGATGTCCCCAACAAGCACAGTCAAACCTGTCTAGTTGATTAGCATCACACTAAAAGGGACATAAGGGGTGCTTGATCACCATAATTGTCCACTTGTCCTGTCAATTCTGAAAATGTCAAAACAACTGGGCTACCAGAGTGGCCCGGGGCAAGTTGTCCGATCGGGCAAAAAAAAAAAAACTTAAAAAAAAATATGTTTTCTTTATTTTTTATTTCAAATTTGGAATTTTTTTTATAAGGAAAAAGGAACGACATTTATTAACAACAAAGCCGTGAACCAGGCCCCCCGTCCCTCACAAAAGTCACCGCAGCTCTGAGCTGAGCGAGGCACTTCGGCAAGGCAGAGCCCATGCCGCGGCTATGTCAAGGGCTCAAGTACTTTTTCTTGTCCTCTTCTTCAAACTTCCATCCTAGCAATCCATGTATGAATCTACAATCAATGCATAATCAATTCTAGCACTACTAAACTAGCCTACACTCAGCCCCTCTGTCTGGACTAACCTAAATGTCTGCAAGAAAAGACGCATTCTAATGCTGTCAATTCCAAAAATCAGAAGTAACAATCGAGTCCCCGAACCTATTTATCAACCTGTCACAAAAATCCTTTTACTTTATGCAGTCACATAAAAAATCCTGAAAAATGCAAACAAGGCCACTGACCCTGCAAACAAAACACTGTGACCAGTCCCGCAAAAGGAGCCCACCGTGTTGCGAAGTATTGCATTGCTTTGGTTGTAAACACCTTCCACTGTGCTCTATACTCCCAACCTGCCAGTATTACTTGTTTAATGGCATGTTCCACCTCTGCTCAGACCATTGGCGGTGTCAACCTTTCACCACGCCGGGCTGCCAAATTCCTCAATGTCCAGAGCGTCCACATAATTGCACCCCTGAGTGTCTCTTCCACATATGTGAAGCGCACAGGCACCGGCATCCGCCTCAATTCAGTTCCCATTAACAGAAAAATTGGTCTGTCCATCTAGAGTTGTTCCCAGGGATGGGAACTACAGACTGCCTCCAAAGAATTTCGATGTGACCCTGAGGCAAAAGTTGTTCAGTTTATTTTTGTGCATCACCTAGTTTTTTTTCCAGATTTGATCATTTTTTAATTTTTTTGATTTTTTGTTTTTCTTCCTGCTGTGCCCTTTGCAGGTCCTCGCACGGCCGGGCAGCCCGGCTGGTAGCCCCGCAAAACAACAGATTGCAGTCAAATAAAAAGAAAAGAACAAGGAGAGAGAAACCAAGTCAGAGCAAAGGAAAAGAGAGCAAGGCAGCGAGATTGACTTGTAAGCACCATCCGCTGGAAGGAATCCACTTATTCCTCCCATCCATGGACGAGCGGAACAGTGATGGAGGGAGGGACATATCCGACAACTGGCCTCTTGAGGACTGGAAGAGGGTTTTGGCAGACATTTCATTGCATGTCACAAAATGCTCCATGCACCTGGAAGTGAGAGGGACCTTGTTGAGAGGAACACAATGCTCTATGCACATGTTTTTTTTTCC